GAAAAAATATTTGCAAACTATGCAACAGATAAAGGGTTAATAACCAGAATCTACAAAGAGATCAAGAAACTCCACAAAAACAAAACCAACAACCCACTTAAGAGATGGGCCAAGGACTTCAATAGACATTTTTCAAAAGAGGAAATCCAAATGGCCAACAGGCACATGAAAAAATGTTCAAGGTCACTAGCAATCAGGGAAATGCAAATCAAAAGCACAATGAGGTTTCACCTCACCCCAGTGAGAATGGCTCACATTCAGAAATCTATCAACAATAGATGCTGGCGAGGATGTGGGGAAAAAGGGACACTAACCCACTGTTGGTGGGAATGCAAACTGGTCAAGCCACTATGGAAGTCAGTCTTGAGATTCCTCAGAAACCTGAAGATAACCCTACCGTTCGACCCAGCCATCCCACTCCTTGGAATTTACCCAAAGGAGTTTAAATTGACAAACAAAAAAGCGGTCTGCACCCTAATGTTTATTGCAGCTCAATTCACAATAGCCAAGACCTGGAACCAACCTAAATGCCCATCAACGGTAGACTGGATAAAGAAATTATGGGACATGTACTCTTTAGAATACTACACCGCAGTAAGAAACAACGAAATCCAGTCATTTGCAACAAAATGGAGGAATCTGGAACACATCATGCTGAGTGAAGTAAGCCAGTCCCAAAGGGACAAATACCATATGTTCTCCCTGATCGGTGACAACTGACTGAACACCAAAAAGGAAACCTCCTGAAGTGAAATGGACACTATGAGAAATGGTGACTTGATCAGCATAGCCCTGACTGTTAATGGACAGCTTAATACATTATCCCTCTTAGTATTTTTTTTGTCTGTTCTACTTAATATGACTGGTTTAATTCTGTAATTATCACACAGTTATTCTTAAGTGTTGAAAATTAACTGAAATGTGATCCCTGTTGAACATAAGAGTGGGAATAAGAGAGGGAAGAGATGTATAATTTGGGGCATGCTCAAGCTGACTTGCCCCAATTGGTAGAGTTGGAAACATACCAGGGGATTCCAGTTCAATCCCATCAAGGTGGCATGTGCCAATGCCATCTCACTAGTCCAAGTGATTAATTTCAGTTCACAATTGATCATAATGAAAGGACTAAGAGTCAAAGGGAGCACATAAACAAGTCTAGTACCTGCTAACACTAACCGATAGAATAAATAAAGGGGAGAGTGATCCAACATGGGAAGTGAGATACTCAGCAGACTCATAGAATGGCGGATGTCCTAAATAGCACTCTGGCCTCAGAATCAGCCCTAAAGGCACTTGGATCTGGCTGAAAAGCCCATGAGAGTATTTCAGGCATGGAAAGCCAAGACACTCTGGCAAAAGATCTCTGTGAGTGAGATCCCAGTGGAAAGAACAGGTCTTCAAAGAGGGAGGTGCCTTTCTCTGAAGGGAGGAGAGAACCTCCACTTTGACTATGACCGTGTTTAAACAAGATAAGAGTTGGAGAACTCAGAGGGCTTCCATAGCCTTGGAAACTCATGACTGGTGCATAGGGAGATTACTGATGCCATAAACAGGAGTGTCAATTTGTAAAGTCAACAACAGGAGTCACTGTGCACTTACTCCTCATGTAGGATCTCTGTCCTTAATGTGCTGTACATTGAGGCTTAATGCTATAACGAGTACTCAAACAATATATTTCACTTTGTGTTTCTATGGGGGTGCAAACGGTTGAAATCTTTACTTAATGTACACTAAACTGATCTTCTGTTAAAAAAAAAAAAAAAGAAATTATCAACTCCCAACTTGACTCTCACTGGGATTAAACATGACAATAGGTCTGATCTGATTTCATCATCATTTAAAAAAAATCATCTATTATTTTTCACTTTATGTTTCTGTGTGGGAGCAAACTGTTGAAATCCTTACTTAAGGTATACTAAGCTGATCTTCTATATATTAAGATAATCGAAAATGAATCTTGATGTGAATGGAAGGGGAGAGGGAGTGGGAAAGGGGAGGGTTGTGGGTGGGAGGGACGGTATTGGGGGGAAGCCATTGTAATCCATGAGTCGTACTTTGGAAATTTATATTCATTAAATAAAAGATAAAAAAAATTATTTTAGAGTGCATTACTTCCATGGAAAGTGAACATTCTGCGAGCAGGAAAAATGCTTTCAAAAGAAAACCATAATCACCAAATTAATGGTGGGAGAGAAATCGAATAGCTGTTTGGAATCAACCAAGAGTGGTGGCAGTAAACGAACACCGTGCAGGGAATTCCCCTCCAGGCCCAGAGGAAAGAGGAAAAGACAAAGACAGGGTGGGGAGATGAGGAAAAGTCAGAGGGAAGCTGCAACGTGGGACTCACGTCCATGCGGGGCGTGGCTCTCAGCATCCAGTGCCTAAAGGGAGACGTTAGAGCCGGGAGGACATTCAACTGCGGGACGTACCAAAGAGCTGCCCAATAACGTCACAAGAACCAAGCGCGGACTATCGGAAAAGAGCGAGAGCCCACAGACAGGAGCTCCCTGCTCCCCCAGGGCAGGGTTTGGGCCTATTGCACCCGTATGTGTGCAGCCGCCACCAGAACAGGACCCAGCAAACAGCAGGTGCACAATAAATGTTACTGAATAAAACAGCCAATGACTCTGTGAGACTGTAAATTAGCACACGCTTCTAAGGAAAATGTGGCCATATCTACACAGACAAAACGGATGCCTTTGCCCCCAAAATGTCTAATAGAAATGAATGATGATGAAAATAATTACACTCACATAAATCTGAAACCAAGATGCTCCTGCAGCTGTGCCTTTAGTACGAAAAGATAAACAAGCCTTCACATGCCCCACAATCAAGATTGTTTGAGTGACTACGGAGCCCCTGTCCATTACAGCCATGAACAGCGGACAGTGCAGTTCCGCCAACTTACAAGAGTAGGTATGAAACAGGTGACTGTATAAAAAGTTACAGAGATCGTTATGGTGTGATCTCATCATAAAAATGAAAATACACGCAGCTAAAAGCATTATACGTAACGTGAAGATCACTGAACAGCAAAGGGTGCCTGGGAGAATCGCTGACAGAATGCTACGTGAGGTTTATTCCTGTGTGTGGGTTTAACTTGGCTAAACTGTACTTTATCGTTTTCTTCACGACACGTATTTTCAGGGCAGGCATTTGGCACAGCACGACTAAGATGCTGCTTGGGCTACTCACGCCCGTATCAGAGGGCCTGGGTTTGAGTCCTGACTCTGCTCCAGGTTCCAGCTCCCTGCTGATGCTCACCGGGGGAGGCAACGGGAGAAGACCAAAGGACTTGGTCCCTCCACCCACAAGGTCACCTGGATGGAGTTCCCGACTCCCGGCTTCGGCCTGGCCCAGTCCCAGCTGGTATTTGGGGCATGACAAGTGGATGGGAGTTGGATCGATCTCCCTTGGTCAAAAAAATGTATATTTTAAATGTATACTTTATAAATAAAAAACTCAAAAGTTACAGCTCTTTCACAAAAATCTGAGCATTTGGGAGAAAAAAATCATAGTGGACATCTCACACACTCGGCATGTGCATTTTAGACAGTTCATGAGAATGATTGGTTAATAAACTCTGTGGCCCCCAAAGTGGGCTTAGCCAGTGGGAAGTAGGGGCCTGGGACACGGGTGCAGCTGCAAAAGCAGAGCCCTGCTGGGCCTGGCACTGAAGGACATGCAGGGAGATGAGACAATAGGAGCCCAGGGGGAAACCCAGCAGTTTATACCAACTTTCCCTTTGCCCCCGGATTTGTTTAAACCCAGTTCCAAATCACACATCACTGTAAAACTTGCAGAAATATTAGCAAGCACGTAGACTAGCTAACCACGCTCATTACTGGAATCGAAGCACATATTTGACAAGAGCAGAGCTGACACTGCCCCCTTGCTGTCCACACCCCTGGAAGAATCCTCAGCCAGAGTCCCCGGCTCCACCCTCCCATCCCGACTGCCAATCATTACAGCCCCACTCAAGACTGTGCCTGGCACAGGACAGGGCCCCATGACAGTGACAGACGGTGGAATCCAAAGGGAGCTGACGGAACTGGGAGTCCTCCTGTAGGTCCCCAAATAGCTTGTGACGTGGAACCCAGAGAGCTCGGAGACAACGCCCACGTGATCTGAAATCCTAGGCTGCTGATCCCGCCGGGGGCCGGCACGCGGACGCCTCTGGTCTGGATCCCACCCGGCCTCAGGTTTTCTCAGTACAGGGGTGTGTGCAGGGAGGGGCCGCTGTCTCCACGGCAGCTGTGGATGGTGCTGTAAGACACACCGCTCACACACGCTGCTAAAATCCCCCAAACTCCTCGTGTACCTGGCCCCTCCTTCCTGCTAAGGGCAGGTGGTGCTGGGCCCTTCGGATGGCACTGGTGGCCTCGTGTCCCCTGTCCCCAGGGCCCCTGGCTGTCACGGGGAGGAGCTGGTGACGTGGGGATCGGAGGCCAGGCCACCTCCTCAGCCCCCGCACCTGCTCAGAGGTCTCCTGGTGAACCCAGACTTCAGGAATCAGCAGAGCACGATTACTGGGCCTTTTTATCTGCGACTCTGAGAACCACAAAAGCGGCTGGTGGTTTCTGCAGCCTGCTCGGACTGCCACGAGAAGTCCCGTAAACCGAGAGCTCATAAACAACACAGGCGCGTCCCTCACAGCTCTGGGTGGGAAGGCTGAGATCGTGGCCCCGTAATCGGGCCCCAGGCGAGGGCCCCTCCTGGGCTGCCGACAGCGTCTTCCTCTCTCGGGGCCCCAGGCACAGGCGCAGCACCCCACAAGGGAGGAGCCTCCCAGCTCTCCTCCCAGCAGGGCACCCATCCCGTTCGTCAGGCTCCACCCGCACGGCCTAGTTGCCTGCCACAGGCCCCGTCTCTGAGTCCATAAAGCTGAGGACTTGATTTCCACACCTGAGTTTGGGGGGACACACACTCAGCCCATAACACTGTTTACAATCCATCCCAATGGAATCCTTAGCTAAAAGGGTGGCGAGGAGGCTCCTTACCTGAAAAAGTAGGTTTCGGCCCCCTTGTAGTGGCCAGGTGTCAGTCTGAGGGGAGGGTAGCTGGTGGCCAGGGGCCGCACCATGAACAGGCCCATGGCCAGGGCCACGAACAGCACAGGCAGCAGCAGGTCCGCGAGCGTGCCCCTCCAGGCCCGGAGCGTGTGGCGCAGCTGCTTATGCAGGAGGGCAGCCACCTGTGCCACAAGGAGCTGGCGGCCCTGCACAGGTGGGGGCCGCACAGGTGAGCCACCTGCAGGGGCAGAGACCACAGGGGCTGGTCAGGTGCAGGAGGCTGGTCCTGCAGATTCTCCTCAATTATCCTATAGGTGAGCCTGCGACAACCAACAGCCTGGGGAGCGCCACGTGGGCCACCACCCCCCTACACACACACACACACACACACACACATACACACACAGTGCTCCCTGCGTCACAGGAAACAGAGGCACCAAGCACAGGCCTCTGCCTCCCTGGCCTGCAGGGTCAGAGCGCATGGCCCTGAGGAGGAATGCCATGGGTCCCACCTGGCCTTGTCCCCAAGCACAGAGCAGGTGAGCGGGGCCTCATGTCCACCATCAGCAGCTGAAATGAAGCCTGGGACGTCAGCTAGGATGGCACACAGCAAAGACAGAAGATGCCGGGAGGTTCTATGGCCCCATGCCCTGACTGAGGCTGCTCTGCCTGGCCACCCTCCAGGCACCGGGCCCTTCACCCTCCATCCTCCCCGCCTCCCACTGCGTTTTCTCTCCGTCCCTAACGGAGGTCTTTCCTTGGCAATCCCCAGGTTATGTGCCCAGCAGGATTCTGGGAATAACCTCCACACGTGCCGTTCCTCCATCCCTCCACCCCAACCCCTCCCGCACCTTCCACACTCCCTGGAGGCTGCACGGCCACCACTGAGCCTTCAGCCCAGAGCGCCCCTCATCCCCTCAGGACACAGCAAATCTGAAGGGGGTCCTCAGCTGTCAGAAGGGACAAGTACAGTCGGGAAGAAGTGTGACGTGTGCGTCGTAGGTCTACCGATCCTCTGCAGACTCCTCCAAACCATCTGTCCACACCGCCCCGGTTAGGACACGCCAAACATCTCCGTGCACCTGCGCCGGGTTAGGCCAGGTGCTCTCAGCAAAGCTGCTCAACGTGAGGGTGAGGAGGAGGGAGAGGCAGGCAGAGGGTGACGTCACCCACACCTGCACGGAGGAACACAGCTTGTACTCAAAGTCCAATACGAGGCTGGCGCCGCGGCTCACTAGGCTAATCCTCCGCCTTGCGGCGCCGGCACACCGGGTTCTAGTCCCGGTCGGGGCGCCGGATTCTGTCCCGGTTGCCCCTCTTCCAGGCCAGCTCTCTGCTATGGCCAGGGAGTGCAGTGGAGGATGGCCCAGGTGCTTGGGCCCTGCACCCCATGGGAGACCAGGAAAAGCACCTGGCTCCTGGCTCCTGCCATCGGATCAGCGCGGTGCGCCGGCCGCAGCGCGCCGGCCGCGGCGGCCATTGGAGGGTGAACCAACGGCAAAGGAAGACCTTTCTCTCTGTCTCTCTCTCTCTCTCACTGTCCACTCTGCCTGTCAAAAAAAAAAAAAAAAAAAAGTCCAATACGAAACATCTTACGTGAAAAGCACCCTCGGCTGCAAATACTGAACCAGCTTAACAGAAGAGCAACAAGCAAAACCCAAAACGCAGTGTTAAAGAAGCGGTGCCACTTTGAAGGATAGATTATTTGTGGTGCTTTGAGCCCAGAGCTGCAGACGCACAGCTGGGGATGAACACACTCATCTGGATTAACTCCCTCTTTGCTCTGAGACCTCTGCTGGGCCCACAGTGTGGACGGCACGCCCTCTCTGGTTTCTGTCCTCTTGAGAGTGTGACAGAGCAGTGGAGAAGAAACTACAAAGACATCACCCAGCAAAGGGGAATCAAGTGTCCTGAGGGAGGTGGGCGGAGCTGAGAGCACCGGCACCCCGGAGCCAGTCCCTGGGCTACTGGGGGGGGAGTGAGAGAAGAGGCACCCAAGTGGGGGTTCGAGCAGCATCCTCGCAACCAGCAGCAGTCATATGCATGTGACCTCGGAGAGATGATGCCTGGCTGGGCTGTGGGCCACCAACTTTATGCATTATCAGTGGGGATTCACACGCAGCTCTCTATGACAGTTAAGTCAGCCACGGAGCGATTCTGATGCCACGAGGCACGGTATTACACCACATTTGGTAACCACATGAGGTTACCAGGCCGACAGGGCGTGTGTGGGCCTGGCCAACATCATGCAGGAGCTTCCTGTTGCCCAGCCACGTGACTTCTCAAGGTAATCACTGAGAAAACTGCTGTCTTTGCAGGCAGCTGAGTGAGGAGCTCATCCAGTGGCAAAGCAGGTGCATCCCACGGTTCCGCCTCGAGAGGTTCCGGAAGGGCCTGGCGGTCCACGCCCACAGGCCACCACCCTCACACGGCCTTACACGGCATCTGCTGTCAGTCACGCCAGACACCACACACAGCTGCCTGCCAATGGTGGTGCACTGCAAACACCCGTTGTCAACAGAAGTGGCACAAAGCTGTGTGACTAGGGGCTGGCGCGGTGGCACAACGGGTCGGGCTGCTGCCTGCAACGCTGGCATTGTAAGTGAGTGCCTGCTCAAGTCCCAGCTGCTTCTCTTCCAGTCCGGATCCTCGCTAATGCACCTGGGAAAGCCGTGAGTGACAGGTCATGTCGTAGGGCCCTGCCTCTCACATGGGGGACCAGGATGGAGTTCCTGGCTCCTGGCTTTGGCCTGACAAGCTCTGGCCATTGTGGACATTTGGGGAGTGAATCAGCGGATGGAAGATCTGTCTCTCCCTCTCTCTTAACTGCCTTTCAAATAAATAAATCGTTAATAAAAATGCTGTGACTGAACTGGGCAAACTTTCCCTGGTGGGGCAGTGGGCATGGGAGCAGGGGTGCTGTCGCTCACTGGCCCTACTCAGCGAAGGTCATGTGAGAGTCACAGCGGGGTGAGGCAAGTTCACCCCCACCAACCGGATTCCAGTGCAGTCTCACCCACCCACACGCTGTGCGACTCCTAAAATCACCGAGCTCTCGGAATGTCATCTCAGCTGTAAAACAGATAACGAGGATTATGATCCGACACCGATGAAGCCGTCAGGGCAGGCGTAACACTGACCTCCAGGCACGGCGGGTGCTGGTGGGAGAGCCTCGGTAACTCTCTGGAGAGAGGTGTTCCCAACATAAGAAGAATAAATTTTCTCCACCTTCCCATATGTGTTAATTGGTCATAAATGAGGAAAAAATAAAAGGCTAAGATAGTTTATGGTTATGAATCAACCACCAATCAAATATTCATGGCTAATCTTATAAAAGTGTTCGCATGAATAATTTAACAGTCAAAATTAAAATGCTGGACCAAATTGTTATGAATTGTCTTATATGACTTATGAGTGTAATTATATTCAAGGACTCTAGTTACATATATAATTACGCACTCCCATTTACCCTGACCATCAAATCGCTCAGGGGAAAATGTCCAAACATTTTTTTTCTTGGTCCAGCAACAGCACATATTCAAACGTTAACACCTCGTGAGGAACTTACAATATCAAAGTTTCTGCAGGAGCCTCAGAATGTCTGTCCACATTACCAAGGACATGCAAATGTTCTTAGATATTTTAAAATACAGCATCATGAAGGTAATACTTTCAAGTCAGTGAAGAGAGTACTTCAAAAGGAAAGTGGACAGCCAGCATGCAAAACAGGCAGCTCACCCAAGATCTGCGAGCGAGCCAGTGCTTCGGTGCTGCAGAACGGGGCAGCGGTGGGGGTTTGCAGCTCCTCTGTACCGTAAAGATGAAAGATGCTGACACCTGGAGTACTGCGGGCTTGCAGGAACGGGTCTCCTCACACACACTGCTGGCGGCCGGCAGACCACAGTCTTCCGTGGGAAGCAAACGTGGGTCATCCCGGCTCTGCTAACTGTGCTCCGTGAGTTGTTTCACAAACACTTTGGGGCAGATGCTCAGCGCAGCACGTGCTGCCTCGAGCGCCAGGACCAAGTCCCACCTCCACCCATGGTGCTCCTCCCTGCGGGGCAGCAAACGATGGTGCCAGCACCGGGAGTCCAGCCACCCGTGTGGAGCCCTGGCTCCCGGCCCTCGCCTGGGGGCACTTGGGGAGTGAGGCAGTGGATGTGAGACTTTGCTCCTTCTCACTCCCTTCCAAACACAATGAACATTTTAAAAACTCATGATCTGTTTATGCCACATTTTCTCCATCCAGTCATCAACTGATGGACATCTGGGTGGACCCATAACTTAGTTATTGTGAACCAAGCGGCTTTAAACGCGGGGGCAGGCATGTCAGCAGAGAGTAACTCACTGCCCCAAGTCAGCAGGAAGTAGCTCTAAAGACAGATCATCATCCCCCCACCCCTCCTGGACTTTGGGGGCTGATTTAGTCCCATATAGCACTTGCTTTATAACAACCACAAGGGGGGAGTGTTAGTAAAATGGTACAGTCTTATCTGCGTCACCATCTACGCCCGGATGCCATCCTATGCTCTAGCCCACCACCGCCTGTGGGGAGCAACTCGGACTAGACTGTTACTGGAATTAAGACTTATTCTATGCATCTGCTCTCCCACAATATGGCCTTGGGAGAGGAGTAACAACTTCTACACAGCTGCCTCCAGTTCAACCAATAAACAGCAGGACCTGCTCCTGATTGGAGGAGAGCAGCGTACTCGGCGTGTGGGTAGCAGAGTTGGGATTGGTGGAAGAGGACTATAAAGGAGGAGAGAGACAACATGCACCAGGAACATCTATCTGAAGGAACACCTGTGCAGCCCCTGAGAGAGCCGGCCGGTGGTGTGCCGCTCCCCCGCGGAAGTGGGGAAAGTGGCAGGGGGAACCGCCCTTCCACGGAGGTGGAAGGGTCGGTAGCCAACCCGGGAAGAACCAGCAGCAAACCCGGGGAGGGCCGAGCAGACGAAAGAACAACGCAGGGTCCTGTGTCGTTCCTCCGTGAAGAGGGGGAGCGACAACCGCCATTGCTGAAAGCCAGGTGACCAGATGGCCCAACCACCAGTGTCACCTCCACCCCCACCCTAGTGGGATTCATTTACTCCTACTTCCCTGCCTGTCCCCGCCCAGGCAAAGGTTTAAGAGGACGTGTTCCGGAACACATGCTCTCTTCCCCCACCCAACAACAAACCTTTACTCTTTGGGGCTGGCACCGTGGCTCGCTTGGTTAATCCTCCACCTGCGGCCCCAGCATCCCATATGGGCACTGGGTTCTAGTCCCGGTTGCTCCTCTTCTAGTCCAGCTCTCTGCTGTGGCCTGGGAGGGCAGTGGAGGATGGCTCAAGTGCTTGGGCCCTGCACCCACATGGGAGACCAGGAGGAAGCACCTGGCTCCTGGCTTCGGATCAGCGCAGCGCACCAGCCGTAGTGGCCATTTTGGGGGGTGAACCAACGCAAGGAAGACCTTTCTATCTCTCTCACTAACTCTGCCTGTCAAAACAAAAAAAAATAAAATCAAACCTTTACTCTTAAAAAAAAACTTGGGGGTACACATAGCTCTTTCATATGCTAATTTCATTTCCTCTGTATATAGACAAGACAGATTACCACCCAGCCATAAAAAAAAATCTATTGCAACAAAATGGATGCAACTGGAGACAGTTATGCTTAATGAAATGAGCCAGACCTAAAATGACAATTATCACATGCATGTTGTCTGATTTGTGGTAGCTAACACAGTGCAAAAAAAAAAAACAAAAAAAAACCCTGAATGTGTAAGAATGAAACTGACATCTTATGAGTTGATTATGGTTTATAGCCCTTGTCTATAGGCCTGTGGAACAGTGGTCTATTTTTTTTAAAGATTTATTTATTTCAAAGTCAGAGTTACACAGAGAGAGGAGAGGCAGAGAGAGAGAGAGAGAGAGAGAGAGAGAGAGAGAGAGAGGTCTTTCATCTGCTGGTTCACTCCCCAGATGGCCCCAGTAGCCAGAGCTTCTTCCCGCTCTCCCACGTGGGTGCAGGGGCCCAAGGACTTGAGCCATCCTCCACTGCTTTCCCAGGCCACAGCAGCGAGCTGGATCAGAAGAGGAGCAGCCGGGTCTCGAATTGGCCTGGTGCTTCAGGCCAGGGCGTTAACCCACTGCGCCACAACGCCAGCCCCAATCTACTTTTTACTTGCTAAACACTATCTTTAGTGGAATATTAAGCCTGTGATTATAAAGCAAATTTAAAGTATCACAAAAAGGAAAAGGAAAAAAAGGAGGAGGAGGAGGGAGGGAGGGAAGAATTGTTATGTTCCTATAATCATGTCTACAAAATACAAGAAATCTGTTCATTGTATAATAAAAAAAATTCAGTCTTAACACATATTAACCAAAATAAGCTCCTGGCTTTGGATCGGCACAGCTCCAGCAGTTGCAGCCAACTGGAGAGTGAACTAGCAGATGGAAGACCTCTCTCTGCCTCTCTGTAAAATCTACCTTTCAAATAAACAAACAAACCTTTAAAAAATAATTAAGGCAGTTAAGGTATTTTTCAACCTCTAAGACTTATGCTTGTTTGTGTGGTGAGGTTATGACTACTTTAGTTGCCTTCACAATTTTGGTTTTTTTTTTTTAAACGAGTTTTTATCCATCTTGCAATGAATTATTTTGAAAGAACTACACCTTACTCAGGAGATGAAGCGCAGTTTCATGAGAGGGAAGGAGTGTGATTCTCTCCTCACTGGGCTGGGCACTCAGCATCCCTCTGGAGTGTCGGCACCCGTATCAGAGCACCTCAATCAAGTCCTTGCTCTGCTGCCGAGCCCAGCTTCCTGCCAACGCCCACCCTGGGGAGCAGGTCGTGGCTCAAGTAATCGGGTCCCTGACACCACATGAGAGATCTGGACTGAATTTCAAATTCCTGTGGGCATTTGGGGACTGAACCAATGGATGAGAGTTCTCTCTCTCTCCCTCCCACCACTCCCTCTCCAATAAGTGAATAAATATTAATCCTCTGTTCACTGAATCACAGAATCTTAGAGCTGAAATGGATCTTTAAAATAACACAGTTGTGAGGCCAGCTCTGTGGCATAGCAGGTAAAGCCACCACCTGCAGTGCCGGCATCCCATATGGGCGCCAGTTCGAGACCCAGCTGATCCACTTCTGATCCAGCTCTCTGCTATGGCCTGGGAAAGCAGCAGATGGCCCAAGTGCTTGGGCCTTTGCACTCATGTGGGAGACCCAGAAGAAGCTCCTGGCTTCATATTAGCACAGCTCCGGCCATGGCAGCCATCTGGGGAGTGAACCAGTGGATGGAAAACCTCTCTGTCTCTAACTCTACCTTTCAAATAAATAAATAAATAAGCATAGTTGAGGCCTTTCATTTACTTACAATTAAGTCCAGTTCAGGAGAGGCGGTGAAGTAAGTTAAATGGGAGACGAGGGGGCAGTGTGTGAAACAGCGGGCTTTCACTCGTGTGGCCACCAGGGTGGGGGCTTAGTCACCTGGTGGAGTAAACTTCTCAAGGAGCTCCCAGCCTTGGGCCAGGTCCACTGTGACGGCCCCTGACAGCTTTCCCCGGCCAACAGGGCACGGATGCAGTGGTCACAGGGAGGTACTGCAAGGAGGCTGCCGACGCCCGGGACCCAAAATACCAGGGTGTCAGCTGCCAGCTGGGGAGGGTGTTGCAGGGAGCTCTAGAGCAGACGGAGTCTGTGCAGAGACAGCGACCGTGAGACAGGGCACGTCACGCGGCTGGGGAGAGAGCCTGCAGGATGTTCGCCCCCGCACCCCAGCCATGCCCTGGTTTCAGAATTCTGACAGGCAAAGGCAGACGTCACCGCACATGCACTCAGCACTCAGGGGAACAGGATCCGTGAGCTCTCCTGTAGCCCCCGGGATGCTGAGCGGACCCGCGGAACATGCTTGCCATTCAGGGGCACACCTTCAAGGTGGGTCTTAGTAAATTCACTTGGGAGCCACGCGACACAGCAGCAGGAGTCGGGGGGCCTGAATTTCAGCCTGGCTTCCTCTGAATGCACGGAACAGTTTGAGAAAGCAATTTTCTTTCAGTTTCCCCCATTTACAAACCAAGAAGTTAGACAGCGTGGTCTTCAGCTTTGTCCACGCGAAGACGATTGCTGCATGAATTTTCACAAATTGTGACCGTGTTCCTATTCATATCATTTGTGCATCTCCAAGGAGAAAATCGGCAAAACCAGACGTCCTTTTACTAAGGTACGGGAGAGAGGGGAGAGAGGACGATGACGGGGCGTGAGTGTGTGTGTGTATCTGGACGGCTTTATTTATGATCTCGCAAGCACATCTCATCTAATTTTACAACACCTCGTCTGCTCGCTTTTTATACCTAGTACATCACTTTGGTAAAACACTGTTTGCCTCTAAAGACAGAAGCAGGAGACTCAGGTAAATGGCGACTGTCCACACGCCGGGCCTGTGCAGCTCCAGCTGCCACGTAGCTTTGGCAGCGTCGCTTGGTTCTTTGAAAAGACTGCCTGTAACAGCAGAAGCGCCATAAAGCGCCAGCTTAGGAGCCCACCGAGGAGGGGTCATCCCTCACATGCAGCCACATTCGCTGAGTGGCTCGAGGCTGCGGGGACTCCTGTGATTACGCCTTGAGCAGGCTTGACGTCCAGGGAAGCAGGTGCAGCCCCAGCACCGCCACTGAGTGTTGCCCACGTGGGCAGGCCAACGAAGCCCAGTCTGGGCTTTGCCTCACAGGCACCAAACACAGCTCGTCCTCCAGTGGCTGTGTAAGGGCACCACACTTGGGTCTCCAGCACCAGTCCCCTTCTCAGTTTTAATCGATGTTAGGGGAACCTTACGCACCCCAATCCTGACCACATTTGGGAGGCAGAATGTGCCTCAGGCAGCCATGTGGGCTCCACTTTCAGATGTCTGTCTGCTTGAAGACTGGCTCAAACAGTACCCGCAGGAAAACCGACTGATGGCAACGCAGGCAAAGGGCTCCAGGTGGCATCTGGGCACGGTGAGGGGAGGTAAAGACGGAATCAGAGACGAGGACCCTCACTCCCGCCACGCTCAGCTCTGCCTCAGCCTGCGTCTCCTGCTCACCTCCCTTGCTGATTGCACCACCTTCCACCTGTGTGCTTCTCCACAGGCAATGAGGGCCTTGTAATGTGAGCGGCTGACCACAGTTCATCTTGTCCTCAGCCCCGGCACACTGCGCAGCCTGAGTGAGATACTCAGTAGGCTCCGATGGGCGTTGGCCAAACACGGGAGTCAATATCCCTGATCCTATGTCACCTTCCCGAGCTGAAGTCTCCCTTCTCCTAGGTCCATTGTTCCTCTACGCAGAAAACTTAGTGCCACTCTTGCACCTCCCAGTCTCACTGGAGTCAATGCCGCTCGCAGCTGTAACAGTCCACCTGCTGGGCCTCACTCCAGAGCAGTCTCCACACCACTAACAGTGGCTCCACTTCGATATGATTCCCAGAGTGCAAGAGGCACAAAGTAGTGACCAAAGTCCTGCTTTTGCTCTGTGGTCTCACATAACTACAGGGGCTGGCATTGTGGTGCGGTGGGTTATGGCGCCTCCTGCAATGCCAACATCTCAACAGGCACTGGTTGAAGTCCTGGCTGCTCCACTTCCAATCCAGCTCCCTGCTAATGTGCCTGGGAAGGCAGTGGAAGATGGTCTCCTGACAACCACGTAGGAGACCTCCAGGGAATTGCAGGCTCCTGGCTTTGACGTGGCCCAGCCTTGGCTGTTGCAGGCATTTGAGGAGTGAACCAGTGGATGGAAGATTTCCACCTCTCTCTGTAACTCTG